CATGGTGCAGACATACAGGGATTCACCTATTTCCCTTGCAGAGCTGAGATTCTGTATTAGCTGCCCCAGTAACAATCCAGAGAAGGGTTTAGGCATATAGGATGCTGGTTATAGATAAAACTTGGGTGATAATATATACCATGTAGTTTCAACATATGATTTCAGTTTGTCTTCAAAGTCCTATCAACATGAATAGTGCCATGAAGTAACATTCAGCATTTTTTCTGTCATTTAAACACCTGCACCACCAAGATGCAGATACATGAACAACTACATGGATGAGAACAGGTACATACAGACCACCTAATTCATATCTGCGTAGTGTCCCATATACGTATGTTCTCATGCTTTCTTGAACATTAGCTTTCTGAAGGTGATTGTGGTCAACTTTTTCCCTGTACTTTTACCTACATAAGGTGGTATTTCTGAAACAGATGAGGAGAAAAGGGCATTTTAGAAATGGCAACTGCAGCAAATAATAATCTTGTTCACTATTAGAGTGTTAAACAATACCCCTGAGAGCTGTTTTGGAAAGGAAAGCTTAAATACTGTCCTTCACAAAAAGTATGCCGGAACAATAAAGTTTCATAAAACATTAATGCTAAAATATTCAAAACATCCTTGGATTTGCTCCATCAAAATCATGTCCTCTTTTTGTTTTAATACTAGCACCAGTGGCAGTAGCAATTTCTAACTATTCCCTTTCTTGAATACTTTTACTGCTAGCAAAACAGCTGAAGACAAGCAGGCTTATTTTACTAAATAATGTAACTAGTTATTTTTGATGTATTAGTCTGATTTACTGTTGCCAAACAAATTTTTCATTTTAAGTGCAAAAAGTTGATTTCTATGGTCTGGTTGATGTTTTTTCATGCATGCAAATTTTTTAGAGAACATTTTGTCTTTAGCTTCCTGTTATGCACATTTTTAAGAGCTTAATGTTTCCTGCCTCCACTTAATATGAAAGAACATTGCACATTTTTGCTGAATGTCAATGAGATAGTTACATTACAGAAATTGTGCCTAAACTACTCTGATGCTGTGACTAGGTATCAGCAGAATTCCACCCCATACTGGAAAAATGTTTAATTAATATAAAGCAGCAAATATAAAATGGAATCTCCCCAAAATGCAATGCAAAGGGTAGGAAAGTCAACCACCAGTAAATATTGAATTAAGCAGGGCTCTCTTATTTAGAAGATTACTAAAAGAAAAGAAAATAATTGAAAGGTCTTGCAGAGGCTTCATAAATACATTTACAATTTATTTAGGTCAATTAATATGGGTTTTGTCTATCAGGCAGGAGGCAAAGCAGCATCAGCCTCTCTCTAAGCACCTTCAGTATTTTACTAACAAAGTTACAGTACATTGGAATATTTTAATCTGACACAAAGAACAACAATAGATCTGACTGCTGGGCTGATAATCTTCTTATCACACCCTGTGAAACCTAGCTCTAATATTTGACTGAGCCTCCATTACTCGGCAACACAGTCTAAAAAGGCCAACAATGGAGAGAGAATGAAGTGGAGTGTGGAAGTACCTCCATATCTACATAAAAGAGATTAGAGGCGACAGCGTTCCATTTTACAGCTCAATCATATTGTGTTAGCATGCGCTTATCCGAGCGCGGATGAAATTGAAAGAGAAATAAAAAAGACTCAGGCAGATAGGAACCAGAAAAGCGAGGCATGAGCAATTTCCAAGGATATAAAAGGATGCTAATGGCAGGGCCCTGTCATTCTTAAAAAGGGCTATTAGGGCACCATCATCTGTTCTTGTGCCCTTACGCTCTTCTAACTAAAGTCAAGCATTTCCTAATGCCATTGTGATCTTTTTCTTCTTCAGATAAGACATGGTCATGTTTCATAACAACACACTTTCCATTTATTTGATTTATAAATGCAAGGAGACTAATTCTATTTACTGATAAAGGCTTTCCATATATATTTTTCTTTCAATATTTCCTTTTGTAGATGGCATAGACTTTTTGTTCAATAAAAGCAACTATTGAAATGTTTCCAATAGCACAAAAACACTAATGATTTTATGAAAGCATTTGAACTTTGTATAATTTTAAAACATTTTTTAGTCTGTGACTGCAATGGGAAATGGTTGGCCAGGGCAGAATGCATACTGCATTGTTACCTTTTTATAGATAATCTCATTAAAAGACTTTCTGTTAGAATAGCAAAAGCATTATTTTGGTTTCTTCCACAAAGACAAATTTTACTTTGAATTACAATGCTTTACAGCTGAGATCTTTATGAGTTATTAAGCACCTGATATATAAGGGCTTTTAATTATACTGAACCTTAAGAAATCACCATAGTAAAGAAAGATTTGCTGATTGCTGCTTTGCTGTGCTAGGCACAAATTCACTACTAGTATAATTAATCGATTCCAAGAGATTTACACCAAGAATTTACTTAGTCTGCTAAGCTACAGCAAACTTTTATGCAATCTGCACCCTTTTCCTACCTCATCCTTTTTCCAATTGTTATGTTTCTGTCTACAGTAACATTTGTTAGGTTAGAAAACAGCCAGCTAGCACCAATCCAGGCTCTTCTACAAGTTGTTTTGTGCCAGACATGAGCTGAGTGTAGGCAGTCCAAGTTCAGCAGTACTCCATCACTCAAAACCAAGCTACAAAAGCTCATCACGTTTGCCCTTTAGCATGTCAAGCCCTTTTGCATTCTGATTTTTGCGATCAAATGCCAGACAACAAGAACATGTTTTAGCACTGCCCTCTGTTACCAGAAGGCTTATAAAAGACTGTCTTTATTTCTTGCGTTTTTTTGTTTTCCTTTTAATTCCTAAGCAGAGTCAGGTGAGTACCTTAGCTACTGTGGCTTTACCATGGCAGGAGTGTTTCTGAGTTTACCCTTGTAATATAAGACTGCCTCATGGCAGAAACGTTCCTCAGCTCGTTCAGATCATAGACTTTAAATTTTCAGAGGCCAGTGTACAGCATCCAATATCTTTTCCACACTAACCGAAGCCATCATTTTAAAGGCTGCTCAGTCTCATCCCTCTGCTCTTCCTGCCCCTCCAGCCAAATCAAAGCTACACAGCATATTCACAAATCAAACTGACAAAAGTTCTCCTGCAACTGCTGTAGAGCATGACTGACTTCTTTGAGAGCTACTCTATTTCGGTTAAGGCGATCTAGGTATCTTCCAAAGATGAAACTCAAACTCACCTATTTAACTCATTTTGACTTAATTTGGGGTGCTTTATTAGCAACCAGTGTAAGACAAAGTAGCTAGTATAATATAGAGTGATGTTTAAATTAGTTTACAATTTGCTTGGGCTCATCTAGAACTGCTCTGAACAAAGCCATTCAGAAATGTCAGCTGTGTTCCTAACCACTGTAACAAATTGTTGCCTGAACGCTGCACACCTAATGACTTCAAATTAGCTTCACTGCGATATTGCCTGACAGTTCGTTACGACTGTTAGCAACATAGCTGGCATATCATGACCAATAAATTGGTTTCAGTGTGGGCTGGGAAAGGGACTTCCATCAATTTGATTAAAGAAATTACTGTAGCATTCAAAGCATAAAGACAAACTAGTTTAAGAAGACAGAAATAAGTTAACTGTACCAGAAAAACATTGCTTGTGATACAAAAGCTTGTTTATACACCATTTGTGGCATAGAGGTGAGAGAATGACTAAATTTTAAGTGTGTCGTATGCTGACTATTTGAGAGCCTGTAGGTTGTTGTCTCTCATCTGAAGTAAAACAACGCTCCATAAATGTACAAATTATTTTATTATTATTCTTTGTTAGTGTTTGTATTTATTGAAGGTGACTCTAAAGCACACATGAGAAGATCTGAGGCCTTGTGCTGGTTAGCACAAGGGGAAAAACCCAGGAAGATTATTTCTTTCCTTTTCTTTGTGATTTCTTTTGATACTAGAAATAAAATATATTTAACTTCGATTAAAAAAAAAACAACTGACTGATTCTTTATTCTACTATTAAGGTATACCAAAATCACATCTAAAATGAGGATGATGATTACTCAGAGAAATTAAAGGTTATCTGTTCTTATGCTCAGTAAGGCCCCACTATCAAAATTAGAAAACTAACAAGCTGACAAAAACACACCAACACGCTCACTCATCTGCTGGACTAGAAAAATACCTCAAAAAAACCAAGAAAACAAAGCAGACCTTTTTGGTATGACACTACCATTCCTGAAAGGTGACAGACTAAGAACGCTCGAGATGGTAAGTTTGTCTGCTAGCCCACAGAGCAAACACAAATACCTCAGCATTAGGGAGAAATAATATATACCTGAAATGTTATCTGAAGAAATCGCTAATCTTCTGAGAAACTGCTTTTGATGACCCCCACTTTTCTTGCTCGCAAGAGTGCCAGTGAGCTTTTATAATATCAACACATTTACATTATGTAGACCACAGCCCATTTCACGCAGACCAAGGAACTACTAAGCTGTAAGCTTTTGGTACAATTCAGTTCTTTCTTCTGAATTGCTCGTACAATTCAGTTCTCACACTACTTCATTCAATGAAGAGAACAATTCCTCTATGGCATGTCAAAATATAACTGAACTTTTTGCACCTCCTGTGGTCAGTCTAAGCCAGTGCTGCCTTTATAGAATAGAGGAACCAGACTTATATTCACCTACTGCTGAATCAGATGAGTACAGAGGAGAGGACTTATGCTAGTCTTCATACCAGGCTAATGCTCTGGATAGCAAGGCAAGTTTATCTTAATAAAAGCAATACACGAAAAAAAAAATTCACTGAGCAGCATGAAAAACTTATTAACGTAGTAACACTCACAGTAACATTAATACTATTTCCAAGTTATTGTATCATCTAACCTATGTTGTATGTGAATAATCTGAGGCCTTAAGAAAACTTCATGGATTATTGTGAGAGAACAAATCATATTTTTTACCAGAACAGAATAACCCATGCAATGATTTCCGTACATCATCTATTTGTAATAAATACCGTATGTACCTGGAATATGCTTAGCCCATCCAATGATCACCACCAGTTCTCTGTCTGCCAGGTCACAAAGAGTGGTAAGTGCTTTGATGTCACTGTCTGGAACAGTGGGGTCAGGCATAGCATAGATCTTCTCTGGTTCAGCCACCAGTAAATGGGAGACAATCTTGTTATCTGTAAAAACGGTCCAGAATTGTACAAGATCATCAGTAGCATCATTCAGCTTTACAAACAGATGGCTTATATATCAAAGTGCACAAGAATTTGTCTTAAGATACTGGACCTACTTAAACCTTCTTGTATTTTACTGGCTTATATAAGCAGTTACAGTACAAACAAGTATGATCCATTAACAATGTTTATCAAGCTAGACATGTTTTTAAGATAGTAAATTCAATGGGATATGAAAATTCATTATCACCTCCTAATATTAGAATACAAACTCTGTAGAAAAATATTCATGCATTATAATGTATTTTGGACTGTCCAAATAGGAAAGTTTTGCTTTCTTTTAATTACCTGCAACCCCCCTGCCTCCATCCCCAAAGGCAGGTGTATTGTTTGAGTGGGTAAACACTGCAGTCAGTCATTGCAATCTGCAACTTCTGACAGTAATTTCAACTACTATTCTTTATTTTAGATGTCACTGTTAAGCTGTTGCAATGAAAATGGTCTCAGGACTTTCTCAGTGCACATTATCCCATATATTATATTATTATCTATATAGCATTTTCATTCATGTGTTTAGTATTATTTACTTTTTCATCCAGTAGACTTGTGAAATCTATTTGGAATAATCAATTAAGTAATAAGGAAAAGTAACGAGGAAAATAAAAAGTGTAGAAGAGCCTGGAAGATTTACAACTGCTATTCTATATTCTATAAGTAGGCTAAACATAAAATGAGGCACAATGGAAACATCTCAACACAAGAGCTTGATCTGTTACTCTGAGAAGGCAGAACTGAAAAATGGGAAAAGGACTAAATCATTAAGCCTCCTAATATTGGATACATTACTATACTTCCCAATATGTTTACATTTCACCTTTCATGGTAGGTGCATTTTGTGACCTCAAATGCACCACCAGAATTTAAAGCCCAAATGGCACTCTTTAGTGAATTTCCAAGAATCTGTCCACTTTGTTAGGATAAAGAGTTATATGGCTTGATATAAATGGGATTCCACTGCGAGAAAGTGTTAAGTATTTTCTGACTGCCTAGAAAAATGTCAGAATTAGTATCATTTTCCTCTTCCACATGGAAGTCGCAGGATAGACCACACTGTCCTCCTGCGGGGAGCTGCAATGGAAGCTGACGGGGATGTGGCTTGCCCAGAAGTATCAGAGAGGCTCTCTACTAGACCATGACAGATTTCCATAAAATCCTCACTTGATTCAGATTTCTGATACTTTACGGCTCTTTTGTGACATGCACCCCCTCAAGTCTGATCTACTGTCTCCACAGTTTTTGCCTTATTCCAAATTTGTATGTCAGACGCTGTGATGATATACATTAGCCCTTCATAAAGTAAGAGCAAGAGCCAAGTGGAAACCATCACATCAGGCATGTTTTATTATGAGGAGATATATTCATGCTTTATATGAACTACAGGAACCAAGCCAACTGAGTAATTCTTGATCTCAATATTCTACTGATTATCAAACTGATTAATGAGGAATTCTATTCTTACTTAAAGATGACAGATGGTAGTTTTAACTTATATTGGCAAACAGCCTTTGCACATAATTTTTGTTGTTTTTAAATAGTCTTTTCATATCCTGTTTATTTTACACATAAAACATCATCTTTATAAGTGAGAAAATAAAACACTGCTTCTTCCCAAATTCCAGTATTTTTTACATGTATTGAAAAGTAAGATAAAAAATTAGAGTTTCTTAATATCAAAACACCTGTAGCTGAGGACCTCAACTTTGTGGATTTTTAACTAGTGATAAATGAATGAAGAAGCACTCATATCCCCAAATTCTGTGCTTTGTTTTGTTTTCCTGGCAAACAGAAAACATGACCAAAGAATCTCTTTCATTTTTTTATTAGGTTCCTCACCAATGGCTTTTTGTAGATTTTTCAGGAATACTGTCCATTTTTGACTGAAGATTCACAAAATCTAAAATTCCTTTTATTTTTGCAATCAACAAGGTCTACAGGCAGGCAGGCCATTAGACTCCATGGTGAAGCTGGAAAATCCAATAAAAGCCAGAAGCAGGTGTAGGAAAGATCCTCCATTTTTTCCCTAGAGTGGGAAAAAGCTACCTATATTGAAGTGTACATCTGTATAGACCACAGGAAAATTTTGAATGTACCCAGAAAGCTCCATCACTCAGGAAACTGAATAGCCACAAGCACTGTTTCTAGGTAAATCTTATTTAATGTTTCCCTAATTAGAATCAATAGTACCCAATTTTCATTCCTGTGCCTTTGTTATGCACAAACTATCAGCCAGGGTCCAGAAAATCTCCCAGGCTACTTCCACACAAAACCGATTCAACTGTTTCAAGTCTTGACACTTATCTGACAGGACTTGAAAATTAAGTTTTATAAATGTTTTTTACAAAAATGTTTCTGATTGGACGAACTAATGAAAATGAAGGGAGGCACTCAGATAATGAGTAATGATTTATAAGGAGGGTAGTTTATCTCAGACAAATGGAGCTTACAGAAATTGGTGTAGTTATCATCTTAAAGGTAACGTAATGCACCACTTTGCAGTAATCTTGGGTTTACACAGAGATTCTTGTGTTTCAGTACAACAGGATTAACCTCTTTATATTAAAGGGCTTGGGATTTTGGGGTTGGATTTCATTTTTTTTTGCCTGCTTGGTCTTGGCTTTTTTGATATGCTAGGCTATCAACATTTCTACTCAATGACAATATCAAGTAAATGAAAAACTGACAATCTGTGCACCCAGGAAAACTAAACCTCTAATGAAATTAAGCATTAGAGTTTATTAAATTTTATTGTATTATCAGAAAGTTTTTATTATAATGTGCAAAATCTGCTTAGTGCAGCCCTAGATTGTATTTGCAGAACGGTGGGACAGCTTATAGAGGCTGAGTAGAAGATGCCAGATTGGACAATTGAAGGAATATAATCAGCATAATGTTTTTTGGAAAGGCAAAAGGAAACTATGCCATATGTTCACTTAAGCCTTAATTTTATGTAAAACTGTTTTTTCTTTGACACAGCTAAAATGCCCTTTCACTTGCTGTTCAAAGCCTGTTTATTTGCTTTCCAGCTCCCCATATGCTCAAATGTATTGTACACAGCACTGTCCCCTACTGGGGAACACGAATGGAAACAAATTCCATTTTCCATACAGCCAGGTATTTTCAAGACCCTAAAACTGACATGTGTGTTGTTTTTTTCTGTCAGAGGCATAGGGGCAGAGGAAATGGGAGACAAGGAGGAGTTTGCCATCCTTATTTCTCTGGCTTATTTCTCTATTTCAGGAGCAAATTAACCTTCTCAGCAGGAGCAACTGGACGTGTGCATTCTCATTTGAATTCAGAAGAGTTTACAACACTGGATACAGTGTGTATGCCTTTGCAGGGTAATACACTAGCCTCTCGCACTACAGCTATAATGCTATTAAATTTACTTCATGGAATTAGTACAGTCGCTGCTTGAGTTTATATAAGCTGCAAAGCAAAACCCCTAACTATTTTTAGTTAATCGCAAAGAGGATGGAACTTGTATTTTAGCAATGAGATGATCAGCTCACTCTCTCTTAATTTCAGCCTGGTGAGATATAATCAAGGACATTATTAAAACATAACAAAACAAAGCAAAAAAAATCCATAAGGGTACTAGAACCCAAACTACTAATCTATGCTTGTTATTAGTGTGGCATATTGCTGTTTTAATCTAATGCTATGTAGTATATTAATCTATAAATATAAATTAATGAGGCTCTTAATGTATTTTCATTGGGAGGTAGTTAGGGAAAACCACAAAAATCACTTTCTTGTGAAATCTGAAACTAGCAGCTTCAATGAACTAATGATCACAGTATGAACCATTTTATGTATCACTGAAAATAAAGATAACCTGTAAATGTAAAATTTGCACTGCATAAACCATGTTTTTATATACTTCCACCTGTAAAAATAGTCTTTGTTCAACTCCACTTGAGAAAAATGAGCATATTTAAAACAAAATATGTTAACAGCTAAATGGATGTAGTGATCACGGTAGTATCTTCTGACCAAAACCTTGTCCCAGACAGAAGGAGCTTAGCAAACAGGGCTAGGAGTCAATACCTTGTATTCAAAGATAAATTTTGTATATCTGGTGTACTCACATGGCTTTTTTGCTGGCTGAACTAGCTGAGGGTTCAGGTATGGGCTATTCTCTGCATCTATTCTGCGCTTGTACTTTTGGCGACCTCCACGTACTCTGTCTAGGCGGACACCTATATTGGGAAAAATGAGCACAAATGTAATTAAATATATTATGAGGATGCCTTTCAGGTAGCAATATTCTATTTCCTGCCTTTCAATATTTATTTAAAATGCATGTTTATTTCAAAAGATTAATTTTATAAAACAAGTATTTGCAAGCTGTTTAGATTTTCACACATTTAAGACTAATTATACAACATAATTTTCTGATCATTTAAAACCATTTGTTGATTTTTACATATTAAAAACAGCTAAAAAGTTCAGTTTCCACTTGAAAGAGTCTGATCTTAAGTCATCTTTGCCAGAAGCAGAGGATCAAATCTGTAATATACACCACAGATATACAAGGCTAACATTATGAGTAGAGAAGTACAGAGAACTAGGACTTCAGAAACAATGAGTGCTGTTATACAGTTTAGATAGTCAAAACCAATGCTTTTAATTAACATAGATTAACATGGTCAGAGGATACAAAAGTATCCTTAGTACAATAAGAACATGTATGTGGCTTAAAGACCTGAAATTGTTCATGAGAGTTTGAAATAAATTGTGTGTGTGTTCATTTGGATGTCATCAATGATGAATTTTCTACTTTCAAACTCTTCATTGCTTCAATAAAACATTCTGCTACATATTTTGTATATAGAAGTTTACTTGCCCGAAACAAGCTCATGCTGGTTTTGACTGAGATAGAGTTGATTTTCTTCATAGTTACTAGTATGGGGCTATGTTTTGGACTTGTACTGAAAACAATATTGATACTACAGGGATGTTTTCATTCTTGCTGAGCAGTGCTTACACAGAGTCAAGACCTTTTCTGCTTCCCACACTGCCTCACCAGCGAGTAAGCTGGGGGTGCACAAGAAGTTGGGAGGGGACATAGCTGGGACAGCTGAACCCCAATTGAGCAAGGGGATATTCTACACCATATGATGTCATGCTCAACATACAAAGCTGGGGGAAGGAGGAGGAAACGAGGGACGTTCGGAGTCATGGTATTTGTCTTCCCAAGTAGCTGCTAAGCATGATGAAGCCCTGCTTTCTTGGAGATGGATGAACACCTGCCTGCTGATGGGAAGTAGTGAACAAATTCCTTTACTTGCTTTGATTGTGTGCGTGGCTTTTATTTTACTTATTAAGCTGCCTTTATCTCAATCCACGAGTTTTCTCGCTTTTATTCTTCTGATTCTCTCCCCATCCCACTGGGGGAGAGCGAGTGAGTGGCTGTGTGGTGCTTAGTTGCCAGCTGGGGTTAAACCACGAGAAAGCTACAGCTGCTCTCATGGACAAAATGAAAAAGGAAGGGAATAATAAGATGGTAGGTCCTATAAAACAATGAAGTATTTTTATTTCCTTCTGAGTCACCAAGGCAGATTTCCAGACAACCAGGACGAATGTCAGTATAACCAAGTAGTAACATAACACTGTAGCTGAAAAGCTCAGCACATATGCAGGGCAACAGGACAAGTAACACCAAGTACAAAATTTGTCCCTAAAGACAAGGATTTAACTAGACAAGAATGCAAGGACACATTAGATATCAATGATCCCTGTGAGCCACATAATAAAGTGCAGCTCACTTTCCCACTTTTCATTGTCTGTTTTAGCTCTCCTCCCTCTGTTTATCTTTTCTGTTGTCATAATTGTGCCCTACTCTACCACTTCTCCTCACCCTGTTCTCTCCCTCTCAGGAAATGCCTCCAGAGCTGCCTTCTGGACTGCAGAGAAGTCACCACCAAAGAAAGTTACAGTTTATGTCCTCAGTAGTGTTTGCTCACCAGGAAAGTGGGCAGTGATCACCTGTATTTTAATAGCCAAATCCCACTTGGTGTACTGCAGAAGTTGTGTATTTCACTTCCTCAAACTCAAGAAGCGCATTTCTCGCTGTATGTTACCAATTCTATTTTTGTAAATCGCATTGCATTAGTAATAAAACATACCTGAACAGCTCAGTGTATAATTATCAATGAAATATCATATATGGTATTTATCTATTTCACTACCAAACTTGTGACCTATTTGAGGTCTAAGCTATCTGATAAAATTCACGGTGACTCCATCAACAAAGTATTTGTTTTAATTTATACCCTTTTAAGGGTATACTTAGAAATCCATGGACTACAACAAAATGTTAAAAATTGATAGTCCAAAGCTTTTCAGAGCTAATGATAACAGTAATCTCCACCCTTGAATTGGGACTTTGAGCTACACCTGAAGCAAATGACATCCAGGACAATACACTGTCATAATAAACGAATAGGAAAAGACTAAGGTTTGACAGTTGAATATTCAGAAATAGGCAGAGGATTAGAACAAGCCACATGCGATATTGGTGGGATTATGAAAAAGACTGCCCAGCATTTGAAGAAAAATAGATAGAAAATGATTTCTGCATAATTCAGATGCCATCCTTCTTTCCGCTTGGGAGCAGATTTCATAGAGATAAAAGATGGATAGCATCAGATAGAAGTATGTTTAATCAAAAAGTAATGGAACTGAAGCTTAAATTAAAATAATATAAATCTACCAAGATGAGCAATTTTTTACCTCCTTTGCATTTGCTGAGATACACATTCAAGCCATTCACATATTCAATGGAAGGAAACACAGATGAATGTCAAAATAGCAAAATTTTACACAGATCCATGTACTTGCCTATTATACACAGCTAAACCTATAAACCTATAAATATAGCTACTTTCTTTTTTAAAAAGAAAAAAAAATTCTAAATAAATGGGAGTAACAGTATTACAAACATTAGAAATACTTAAATCTATAATACAACTAATTCCAATTCCAATGTGAAAGCATTTTTAATAACATAATACCAACAGAGTATAAATTATTTTTTCATTAAAACTGAGAGGGAGTTTACCATCATTTTAGCTCCTAATCCCATTACAAAGTAGCTGCCTTTGAATCAATTTCTGATAATTGAACACACCCTCAGTGGTATTTGACTTCCCAATAGTCTTTATAGAAGTATGCACAATGCAAGACACCACTTAAGAAAGTACACCCATCTGATATTCCATAAAAATTTGTTGGAGTTTGGCAGGTAGTAAACTGAAATCCAGAGGTACCTGTGTATGTGCATTTTCCCCTGTAATACCTATAGCTTGTATGAGAGAATTAATTACAAAAAGATATATTTATCTGTTCTCAAGACAGTAACAGCTGATGCCTTCTTTGTTAGAAAATCAAACAGAAGAAAGAAAAACAATTCTGTCCACAAAGATCTTCATCTGAGGCGTGTGAGGCATAACACCTTGATTAAAGAGGTAATTGCTATAATTCAACACACAGTCTCTGCTCAGACTATTAAGGGGGATATTGTGGCATCTAGGTTGTGTACAGGGAGAAGTTAAGCAAACCTCTGCTTTAACTCTGTTGTGCATGGGGCTTGCCAGAGTCTTCAGCAATTCTGTTCACTCACCCTATCGGTCCTCAACCATGAAGTGAAAGGCAAGAAATCCACCCCACCTATATAAACTCATGGCACATCTCTGCATGAATTGCACTGTACCTATTATCATTACAGGTTCCTTAGGCTCAAAACATCCATTAATGTCACTGAACAAAGCTCTGCTGAAGACAAGCAAGTTGATTCTCTGCATTCCCCAACACTGAGTTTCATTTAAAAATTCTTCAAAAGAAAAACAAAACGAAAAGCCCTAATGAGAAAAACGGGGATGACCACAGGTCATCTTATTTTGGTACAAATAGAAAGAACAGGCCTCCTACCAGTTATACAATTTCAACAGTCAAATGCAACACATTCACATTACACCTTAGGACAAGTACAACTCAAGAGCTCATCTGTAGAGGAGTGATGGGTAGTCACACATTTTGACATAATTTACAAAGCTCAGAAGATAAGGATTAGATTAGAACTGTAATATATGGGCAGATGGAAACTATGTAAATCAATGCAATACCTACTTTTTAAAAATAAGGCAATTGCCTTATCCATGCTCACACAACATAAGAATTTCGCCACCTGGCCTTAAGAAAAAAAAATGGCCTTACATTTATTATAAAAGCTTCTACAATAAAGGTTTACCTGCTAGATCCTCACACAATCTTTCCATGACTTTCTAGCAAATGCTCACCAACAAACAACAAAACGATATTGGGTATGTACTCTAAAATGAAAGCGTCCACATAATCTTGCACAGAAACAACTAAAAACTAGAGGTCAAGCACAAAATTAGTTACCCACCAGGTACTTCAATCTAAACAAACTTAACATAGGCAAACCTGAACTCCTCATTTTCTCTGTATTTCCTCATCTGTTCCTCCCTCTGTAGTCCTTTTCTCACACTGCCTTGAAGCCCTCATGTGGGACAGCGACTGGTGCTATAAATTTTAAAAGACTGCCCTTACCCCTGTATATCATTCTTTTTGTAATTCAGGTCCTCAGTGCCACCTATTTTTCCAAACAGATTCAAGCCATATCCAAATATATTCTTTATTCCTTTATAAGCTACCTCTCTTCCTGTTTTACATCCCCTCCCTTCTTACCTCGGCTACAAGTCTCCAGTGTTCATTTGTCCACTTGTCCCACAAATGTCCTTTCCATGCAGCTATATACCCACAGGAAATCCTCAAGCCACCTTGGAAAAAATTTGCCCAATCCTTCAAATCAAGATCTACCAATACCAGGACTGCCTGTAAGAAGTCACTTACTACTTATAAGCTGGGTTACCTTTTTATTTTGGAAAAAAATAAATCTAATTCACCTAAATATGAAATAAAATCCAAATAAATAAAACTCCCTCTCTACCTTTCAGTAGATCAGTAAAGAACAGGTTTGAGATCAGAATCAAACCTGCAATTTTGACTTTCTATGGAAATTTCAAGTTCTGCTCCTTTTCCACCCCCCCTACATCAGAGATTTCTGACAAGCAGATACGTCCTACACTCACACCATTCAGGCAAGCCCCACGTCTAACACACCATTCGCTACGTACTAAATACATTCCTGTCTCATTTTTTGAGATACCTAACT